TGAGGGGGGGACGCAAATCTTCGCGTGTATTTGCCCCCCCCAAACTGCCTTCCGCCGCGTCTTCCCTTTTGTGGCTGGTTAGCTGAGGGGAGAATGAATTCATCGAAGAGGCAGTCCATCGGGGAATAAGTTCATCGGAGAGGCAGCTGCCAAGGTAACTGCGCACCGTTGGAGAGGGTAGGGAAGCAACGGGGAAAAAGAAACCCATAAACAGCAAGGGGAATCCCAACATAGGAGTTGCCCCTACATTGACGTACTCTGGCACTGACGCAAACTGGTGAAACCCACTTAAACTTAAAAAAAAAAAAAAAAAGTAAAAATGTAGAAAAGGTGGAAGTGTTAATTATGGTTAACTACAAGGGGATTGGGTCGAGGGGGAAGACAGCATGTGCAACAAGGGGACACATAAAAAGGCACGCGCTGCACTTGTCAGGAAAGAGATGTTCGTACGGACGGATATCCGGCTGCCCAAATCGCAGCATAATTGGTGGTTTATTTTGCCGCTAACTTGCCGCAAGACCGGCCAAAACGGGCAAACCCATGGAAGCAGGAGAGCCCTCCGCCCGTGCAGAGCGTGTCCCACCCCTCGCACAGTGCACGGTGGTGAATCTTCGAGGCGCGCCACGGAGGATAGAGCTACGGCGAAACAAACATCGGCGCCACAGTCGACAAACAAACCAGAAACAGAAACAAAGGGTGGGGAGAGAAACAGCAGCACAGTTCGGTTGCCGCGCCTCGTGTCACCCCCTCCGCTGGTGGACGCTATGCCCCTTGTGCATCTTCTTAATCTCCTGCTGTTGGTACGAGACTCGCTCCGGGTTCACGCAGGTCCTCTCGTCGTGTCTCCGGTACACCTTCCTACTGCGATTGCCCCGCTTCCGCATGAATGGCCGTATTGGCAGCGTCAGCACAAAGACGGTGCATCGATAGGCCACTGAAACGCAGAAGTAACTCCACATGAAAAAATACGTGCTTGCCCTTTTCGATAGCTTAATCAAAAGGAAGAGGAAATAAAAAAATAAGTACAAGTGAATGATATTCACCGCCGTGAAGAAAATCAGCAAAATCAGCTGATCTTCCAACCTAGGCGAAATGATCCCTTGCAGTTCTGGATTGATAGAATTTAACTTCACCACTAAGACTTCGGAGTTATTGTGTAACTTCTGCAAAAACAGGTCCCAATCGATGTTCATATATTTCTTTCTTATCGATTGTGTCATCTGTGGGTAGAGGTCTCGACTCACGGGGTGCACCACTTTTTGGAGGAACAGCCGCCTTGCCCTAAAGGCAAAGTTTGCGGCTTTCTTTTTAATAAACTCTACATAATGACTGAGAGATGAATTCTCGTAAAGGTTTAAAAATCGAGTCACCCAATCACATTCGCCAATGAAGGTCTTGTATTTATGCAGCTTTTCCATTGTAAGCCTTCCATACAGCTTGAGATGTGTCCTCATGGCATCTTTAAGGAGAGCTATCTGGGAGAGCAATCCTGACAATTTACTCTGTTCAAACCCTATTATATAAAAAGTTTTGTATATTTTTAATACCTTTACGAAATAACTTCGCACCATGGGGAATGAAATTAGGTAGTCACTGTCTTTGTCCTCGCCGCGACTCCTACCAGCACCTGCGTAGTTTTGCAGCTTGAGCTTCAACTTGAGCTCCATCTCTTCTAGTGCCCTTTCTAGCCTGAGTATCTTCTCCCTAAGCTCTGCCGCTTCGTTTTCCTTTCTACTTACCCTTTCCTCATGCTGCTTCCCCATGTCTTTTATTTTCGCATAACACTTGTCTTCGTTTTCCCTGCACACGTATAGGTGGTTTTCCCTATCACTTAGCTGTGCTTTGCACTGAGTGAGGTCAAGCCCGCTATTATGGGTACACTCCTGTAGATTCTTCTGCGCAGTTTGCGCTGCCAGCAGGGTTTCCCTTTTTTGCTTTTCGCATTGGTACGCGAGGTCCTTTGCCTTTTGCACGTCCTGCTTGGCTCTGTCTGCCTCTTTCTTTGCCTTTTTTGCCTCCTCCTTGGCTTTTTCTGCCTCCTCCTTGGATTTCTTCAGTTCCTCCCCCGCTTCGCTCTTTCCCCCCACTGGCGCGTCCACATTTCGCCCCCCCTGCACCCCCTCCTCTTCACTAATCAGTCTTTGCATTTTTCTGGTCTGTGGATTGCATGCGTCGCCTCCCACATTGGTGGTCTTCTCACTGATGGTCTTCCCATGATTGAGCACTCCTATGCCTTCCCCCTCCGGTGTTTCCACGGCTTCAACCGCTGCCACGTCTTCATCTACCCCCGATCTGCACGCAACCAAGTGAAGGGCACACACTGCGAGGAAAAAAACAGCCCCACATAATTTCATCTTAACTGTAGGTTGCTGCCTTCCCGTTGCCTTTCCTACGTTGCAGCCAGAGCGCAGACTTGGCGTTAACCGTTCCTTTGCTTTTATTCTACGGCGCAGTGAGGCGGTTTCTCAGTTAGGCAGCTTCACCGTTCGTCGCGCTCGAGTGTTTCGCGCGGTTTGCCTTTTCGCAGTTTTGCTTTTTCACAGTTCTGCCTTTACGCGGTTTTGCCTATACGCAGTTTTGCTGTTTTTCGGCTTTGCAGTTTTGATAACTCTTCCTTTTTTTCCTCTTTTTCCTCTTTTCTTATGTTCCATTTTTCCCCCTTTTTTGCACCGCAGGGCCTTCCCGATTTTTTCTTTCCCCACATAGGCCAATCCCAAATACTTGACCACTTAGACACCGACCATATGCACATGTGCATGCGCACGCCTTCGGATGCATGTAGGCACGCATATGTGCGCAGATATAGATAGGCCTACGTATATGCGTGCCTTTTTTTTTTTTTTTTTCCCTCAATGCGTAGGTGTGCTTATGGACGTGCCTACAAAACGGAAAAGGGGAAAATTAATGCCCATGGTAGGAAGCAAATAATTCCCATAAGAAACATAGGCGATCAAGTCACCTGCTGGAATGGCACTCCCCACTGCCTAAAATCGATTAAACGACGTGGTACAGGCGTGTGTAAGTGAATGCATATGAAATGTACAGGCAAAATGGGAGCCAGTGCGCGTATAGATTTGTTGACATAGCTGTAGGCATATGCAGAAGAGAACAGAGGGTCACAGGGCGCGTATTCACCGGGAAACTTTCAGATGAATGTGTGTTTAACTAGGAGGGGCAACTCGCAGGAGCAACTGGGAGAGGCAACTCGCCTGGTCAGAAACTCGAGACTTTTCCATTTTGGCCACAGTTGGTATTTATTTTGTTTGGGTATTTATCTGACAAGGGGCACTTGTTTTTTTTATTTTTTCTTTTCTCCATCACACATGGATTGTTTAACCCTCTGGTTCGCCACCTCCGCGGAATGGTATAATGGAGGACATAAAAACGTGGAGGCCCCAGACAGGGTTTAAAAATGGCACGTATGTCGTGATGGTGACCAAAGGGGAGGTGCAAAAAAAAAAAAAAAAATATGCACACACGTAAACGGAAGCATCAACATGAAAATATGTTGCCTACTTCCTCGTAACTCCGCGTAGCATCATCCTACCAACACGCGCATGCCTCATGTGGATTGGGGATATCCCCTTTTTTTTATTTCAACCACTTCCTCCCTGCGGATCACATCTTAGCAGACCATTCTTCGAAAAATCAAAAAACCGTTTCTCATATGCAAAGTGGCGAAGTATCACAGAGCATCGCATCAGAGCGTACCATACACGCCTTTTTTCCTGTGGCAGCAGATAAGCAACGTGGCATATGCTCTCTTAAGAAGGATCACAGAATGGAATGACCATGCGGCCCATTCGTGTGCATGCCAAATGGAGCAACCCGTCGGGGAGAGGCGAAGAGGGACTTCTCATCTGGTTCGCACGTGACGGAGGGACCATATAACAGTAACCTCCCCGCTTACAAACAAAAGGGAAAAAAAAAAAAATATAAAAAGAAAAGAAAAACAAAATAAAATAGAATAAGATAAAATATAAGTTACACCTAGCTAAGCTTAATAAAACTGCGCGAACAAAATGTAGTACCTATTACCAAAGGGGCGACGCCTCCTGGCCATTCGAATCATCTGGCAAATTGCCTTTGCGCGTTACACACCCACATAGGTTGCACATTCCGTTCTCTTCCCATTCGATTGACTCTACAGAACCCTTACTATCTTCTTTTCACTTTTTTTGACATAGTGGGAACAAGGGGGCATATGCCATATAGTTAAAATCAAATGAAAGTTAAAAAAAAAAAAAAAGGAAACTGCTTAAAAGAAGAATCAGAAAACTTATAAAAATTGAAAAGGTCACTAAAACTGTGCAGCAGTGTAGTTGGCGGCGTACGCAGAGATATGCTATGATGCATGATATTAAATTTAAAATGCGTGTGTACAGGGAAGCCTCGTTTGTGCGACGGCCCCTTCGAGACAGTGCATTCGACTTCGCCGCTTTTTACTGAACGGATGCAATAGAGTCAGAGGCACCGTCAACCTTTTCCGTGTTGGGAAGATGCGAAAATATCGTGCACATGTCGCGCTGGGCGAAGTGATTCGATCCATCCATTTATTTTTTATGTTACCACTTCATTATTTTTTTATTGCTCCATTTAGCTTCTACGAAATATGTTTGCTGGGACAAAGGACGAACGGTGCCAACAAGTTGCCATTACAATGCCACCATGCTGCCACTACAATGCCGCCATGCTGCCACTACAACGTCGCCATGAAGTTGTCGCCATTTGGGAGAGTCACACCTCTTGCTGGACTTTCCCTTGGTACTAATTCCAAAAAAGGAAAAAGAAAAAATTAAAACAAGTTTCCTCCTGTCTGTTGCACCATGGCGTCAATGACGTCTCCATCTTCGATGCCCAATTGGTCTGGTGTATTATCCCCATGAATTCTATCTCCGTCGTATAAAAAGCGGACTGCGGAAAAGGGTGGGATGAGAAAAAACAGGCGGTTTTGGTGTAACAAAAGGGGCAGGGAGTGAAATTCACCATGACATCATGCATACAGTTAAGGAGACTTACTGCAAAAAAATACACAACATACCCACATTTCGAACGTTATTCTCAAGAAAAGGATGAGGAACGAGGTGAAGCGGGGGAAACATACCTGCTTCCATGGACTGTCCCAGACGATTGCAGTAAACCTCCATCAGTTTCTCCAACTTGGTTTTCCTTTTTATTTTAAAAAAAACTTCAGCGCCATCAGGGGACCTAACCTTCACTTGGATATGTTCCCCTTGGTTGGGGGCCGGGCCACTGGTGTTGTTCGCCGCTGAGGATTCGTCCGCCATGTTTCTCGTGTTCTCAGGATTGTGTGTATGTGTGAGTAGAATCCTTTATGTGTACTGGTGTGTGGTTTTTCCAAAAGGCTGCTTTAGAACGTAACTCGTCTTCACAGGGGAGTTGAGTCTACACATCCGTGGAAATTTGCCTACTGTGAAGCTTCTCCTATGGGCAACACTCCTGCGGGTATGGTATGTGTGTTTTTGGAGGGGGGTGAACTCGCTGCATGATTTTTCCGGATTCGCAAATGTATGCTGGGGAGGGGGAAGAAGGCAAGGGAATTGGCGCTGCTACGTATAGCGGCACTTACACGCATGGGTCAGTCGAGGAGGGGAAGGGATATATTTTTCGCGCTTTTCTTAAGCGTTTATTCCGCTTTTCTTTGGAGGAATTAAAGTTGCTATGAGATTCCCCCCAGGAAAAGTGCAATTTGGGATGCGTACGGGTCACTATTTATTATCCTCTTTTTGTCAGCTTTGCTAGAATGAACAATTTTGGCGAAGCAATTGGGGAATCAAT